CTTTCGGTCTCCTCGACCCAAGGTAGTCATACCCTTTGCTGGTCGCTTTCGTTATGTAGTTTCATATTTCAATCACCATCCTGTGTCAAACAACTCTTCCTTAGCGTCTTTTCAGACACAGATTTTGTTAGACTTATTATTAATTCTGCAGTATCGCAACATGTTGTCAGAATATCTTAACTTTCCATTAATTAGGTTGCATTGATTAACAAATTACAAGAGTAGTTAAATAAAAAAAAATAATTAATAATAAATAGTACAAAATTTCACCGCGCAAACTTTACTACACATCATTTCACTTCACTTGTGTTGTTTTATTCATTTCTCTTTATCCCATCCGTATTGCGGCATTGGTAATATTGTATATCATTTATGTCTGATTTCCCCGGATCCCAGTAACAATTGGCCTTCAACTCCTCCTCCTCTTTGTTTGTGAGGATGGACAAGGGAGAGGAAGGAATGATCGCGACCGTGTCTCGACGGCTAGGGTAGAGCGCTGGCTTTAGCCTAGTTTTGACTTCGAAATAGCTATGTAGTAGCTAGTGTAACCAGTGTCGAAAGTCCTTCCACCGTCGAGATACGAACCCAAAGACCTCCAGGTCAGAAGCATGTAGTGACATCAGTTGATGCCCTGAGCCACTTAGTTTTGACTGAGTTTCTTCCATACATGGATCACATGTCACCGATTGCAGCACTCGAATTATGAGACACATACACCATTATTCGCACCCTCCGCAACTGCCTTTTCATCAGCGTCTTTGCATCTCAAGCGCAGCTCAACTGCTTCAGCACCACAGTCCAGAGAGGTTGGGAATATCACGTACTTTCAGACCTCATGGTTCTTCACAGCTTTCTTAAGACCCTTTTCCTTCTCTTCTCTTTTGACGACCTTCTTTCTTCTACGTCCCGGAGAAGTCGTCCCACTTTCCACAAAGAAAAGAAATTCTTCCGAGCCCCGAAGGCCAGTGCACGTGTCGTCTGCGGGCATGACCCAAACAAAATAGATTTGTATTATTTCGGACGTTTCAACTCTATCGGCGCGTGGTCGCGAGTCTTCAAGAAAGTTAGAGCGAAGCTGCGCGAGTTGAGAAGAACTTCTCGAGAGATGGGTCGTGGAAGAAAGGACAGAGATGGAGTATGTGTGGGGATCGAAGGATTGCGAATATCACGGCTCTCCAAGTTCTCGACCAACGGAGACTAAAAATGAGAAGTACTTGAATACGGACTAAAGATGTGTCATCGACAGAAGATGCGTGTTGTGGGAACATGCTATCGTACAATATGATGATATATTGATTGTTGATGCAATATTCTACCATCTGCAATGTCACTTTAGTGATTTACCATTTAAAGATAAATAACAGCATTTCTATATATTAACATGTTGATGCAGTATTCTAAATCGATAAAAATTATCAGTGCTTCCTCTTTACTCATATTCAATGGTATCAACCACGTACATAATAAGTGCATCCATTAGTTCGCAAGTGCTTGGGTTTGTGGTACAGCTGTAAAACAACCGAATGCCTCTATGACCAACCGTCTATCTATTTGCCAACTGCCGCAGTCATGACTCCATCATGCAAGGAAACGAGTAACCTCGCAAAACTTGACGTGTGAGGTGACGCTCAAATTTAAGCTGACGCTCATAAAAATGTACAATGTCCGGTCACACGCTCACGAAAACTCTCACGCTCGCGTAAAGATCAACGCGAATGCTCTCGCAAAGGTTAATGCTCACGTATGTGTTGTCGCTCAGGTGAAGAAAAACGCCCATGGTCACATAATGGTTAACGCTCACACTCACGTAAAGCTTGACGTTTACGCTCACTGAAAGGTTGACTCTCACGCTCACGTAAAGGTTAACACTCACGCTCACGCCCACGTGACGCTGACGTAAATGCTCGCGTTCGCGCTAAAGTTCACGCTAACACTCCCGGCGAAGTCGACCAACAGTGACGGCGACGACGATAGCGACAGTGGGTGCGACGGTAGCGGCAAGAACGTGGCAAGACGCTCTACGGGTGCGGGGCGGGGCGGG